CACCAATCCCGGCCTGAAAAAAATGCAAAACGGATCGGATCACTTCAATACATTCGCGCGATGCCGAGGCAACGTTTGACTCGCTACTTCCTGCCCAGGTTACGTCAGTGCCAACCCCAAAGCCGTGGAGCGATGAGTGCGTGGTGACGGTGGCAGGTGCAGGATGGCACTGGGAGCCACTAGCCACAAGCTTGCATCCACGCGACCAGAGCCAAGTGGTCGCCCCATCCTGACACGAGGCAACAGGATGTTTTGGCAGCAGCTCTGGATGACGGAGCAGCCCTAGTTAGGGAGTGCACTGCTCCCCCCTTTTGGGGAAGGGCCTAGAAAAGGTGGCCTAAACAAAGCTTGCCTCACCCTGATCCTGCCAGCTTGCCGCGGCTGGCTGGACATCCACCTCTGCGGTCGAAACAATCAAAGTCGAAAAAACATCAACCTCGGTGCCTGGAATGTGAGGACCCTTATGGACGCAAACAGTCGTCCTCAGCGCATGACAGCGATTGTTGGACATGAACTGGGCAACTATAACATCACCATAGCTGCACTCAGCGAGACCAGAAGGGCTGACACAGGCAGCGTGAAAGAAGTGGGAGCCGGCTACACCTTCTTTTGGAGCGGCAAATCAGAGACCGAACCACGGATCTCTGGCGTTGGTTTTGCCATCCGGAACGACATAGCCTCAAGCCTCACCTCACTTCCCAAAGGGATCTCAGACCGCATAATGACATTGCGTCTGCGTCTGGAGAGCAAGACGCACCTGACTCTCATCAGCGTCTATGCTCCTACCATGACCCACCCGGAAGAGGAGAGAGAGGCTTTTTACTCAAGCCTGCGCGAAGTCATCCACAGCGTACCAAGCAACGATAAGCTCCTCCTGCTTGGGGACTTCAATGCACGGGTCGGCAGCAACAAGCACGCCTGGCCTAGAGTGCTGGGCTCACACGGTTATGGAAAGGAAAACTCTAACGGTCTGATGCTACTTAGTCTCTGTGCTGAGGAAAACCTGGTAATAACAAACACGGTTTTCAAACACAAGGATGCTCACAAGGTCACCTGGATGCATCCAAGATCAAAGCACTGGCACTTGCTTGACTACATCATCACCAGACACCAGGACCTCTGTGAAATTCTTGACACTAGAGCACTGAGAGGTGCGGACTGCTGGACAGACCACGTCCTCCTAAGGTGCAAAGCCCGCTTTATTGTACACAAACCAGTGCGGAAGAAACCAAGCTGCATTAAGAGAAAGCTCGATGTGTCCCGTCTTAAGTGCGCAAGCGTTGTGAGTGAGCTACAAGAAAAGCTGCGTGATCAGCTACCTGCTCTGCCTGCTGATACTGATACTTCCGAGCACGCCTGGTCTGTGTTCAGGGATGCAGTGTTCTCAGCCGCCGAGACAGCTCTGGGATTCCGTAAGCGCAAACACCAGGACTGGTTTGACCAAAACGACCAGGACATCCTCAAGCTGATAGAAGCGAAGCGCACCGCTCATGCCGCTTGGCTGAGCGACAAGAACTCCGCGTCCAAGCACAACCTCTTCAAACAGCTACGCAGGCAGGTGCAAAGCCGCACGAGGGAGCTGAAGGATGCTTGGTGGGCAGACAAAGCTACGGAGGTTCAAAATCACGCAGACAACAAACGGTCCAAGGAGTTTTATGCAGGGCTAAAATCCATTTTCGGCCCCGCTCAGTGCACAACGGCCCCAATCCGAAACCGGGATGGCATACTCCTTACTGACAAAGAGGACATCTTGAAACAATGGACTCTCCACTTCAGCACGCTGTTGAATCAGACCTCAGAAGTGTCAAACGTAGCAATAGAGTCCATCCAGCAGAAACCCATGGTCCATCAACTTGATGCCCAACCTAATCACGCAGAGATCACTGAAGCCATCAAGCAGCTGCAAACAGGCAAGGCTCCAGGCCCAGATGGAATTCCAGCGGAAGTGTTCAAAGCCGGCGGTGAAACGCTTATCGCTCACCTCACCAGGCTGTTCCAAGTATTTTGGATAAATGGTGAGCTTCCCCAGGACTTCAGGGATGCTAACATCATCCACTTGTACAAAAACAAGGGTGATCGCTCATCCTGTGACAACCACCGCGGGATCAGCCTCCTCAGCATTGCAGGCAAGATATTGGCCCGTATTCTGCTGAATCGTATCACCAAGCACATACTGGATGATGTTGTGTCTGAAAGTCAGTGTGGCTTCAGAAAGCTGAGAGGCACGGTAGATATGGTCTTTGCTGTCAGGCAGCTACAGGAAAAATGTGTCGAGCAGCACCAAGATCTCCACCTGCTCTTCATCGATCTCACCAAGGCATTTGACACAGTAAACCGGACTGCACTCTGGGCAATACTCAGCAGACTCGGATGCCCACCTCGTTTTGTAGCGATTGTCCGCGCCTTCCATGATGGTATGCTTGGCAGGGTCATTGAAAATGGCGATACATCTGACCCTTTTCCAGTGTCAAACGGGGTGAAGCAAGGATGTGTGCTTGCCCCAACGCTGTTCAGTCTCCTCTTTGCCCAGATGCTCTCTGCAGCGCTCTCTCAAACAACAGCAGGAGTCAAGATCCATTATCGCATGGATGGCGATTTCTTCAACCTTCGTCGCCTAAAATCCCACACGAAAGTGACCCGTGCCATTGTTCGCGACTTCCTCTTTGCAGATGATTGTGCACTGGCAGCTCACTCTGAGGAAGACCTGCAACAGCTTGCTGACTGTTTTGCCACTGCAGCTAAGTCTTTTGGGCTAACAGTGAGCATCGAGAAGACGGAGGTTCTTCGGCAGCTCGCCCCAAACACTGCTCGGCCTCCTGCCAACATCTCCATGGACGGCAATGTGCTGAAAAATGTAGACACCTTCAAGTACCTGGGCAGCTGCATAAACTCTGCAGCCAACATTGATGACGAGGTTCTGTGTCGCATTTCGCGAGCAAGTCAGGCGTTTGGGCGTCTCCACACACGAATATGGCATGAACGGGGCATCTCGATCAAGACCAAGTTGAAGGTTTACCGTGCCGTGGTGCTGCCGTCTCTGCTGTACGGCTGCGAGACATGGACTTGTTACAGGCGGCACATCAAGAAGCTGGATCATTTCCACCTGCGCTGCCTTCGCAAACTTCTCCGCATTGACTGGAAGGACCAGATACCCAACCAGGAGGTCCTTCGGAGGGCTGAGACCACTGGCATCGAAGCCATGCTGAACCAGTCACAGCTTCGCTGGTCAGGCCACGTCACTCGCATGGATGACAGCAGACTCCCTAAACAACTGTTCCATGCTGAGCTGTCAACTGGGAAACGGCATACAGGGGGGCAGAGGAAGCGTTATAAAGACGTTCTAAAGTCAACCCTCAAGGCCTACGGCATCCCAGTTGACCAATGGCAAACCCTATCCCAGGACAGACCGGCCTGGAGGGCATCCATTCGCAAAGGCACAAAACAGTTTGAAAGAAACCGGCTACAGAGCCTGGATGACAAAAGGCTGGCCCGGAAAAACAGAGTGCTTAATCCCAACACTGCTGTATCCTGTCAGCTCTGCGGCAAGAGCTGCGCATCCACATTTGGGCTGCAAGCTCATATGCGCAAACACCAACACCAACACTGACGTGTCATCTTCGACCTTTCGAAGGACTACCATGATTACTTTTATCGCAGCTGTTGCTTTACTTACGTGATCATTATGAAAATACATTTGTTCGATCGCCGTGTATAACATGCTTATCTGCGTTTGTTTTTTTAACAATTAGAGTCAGCTTTTTCCAGTTCTGCTGCATCCCCCCTCCCTCTTCCAAAATTTGCAAATTCCACTCAAGGTACTCTTTGTCTCCATTGAATTGCTAACTGTGCATGCTCATGCTCAACCCTGGGCGTGTTTGATTCTCAACGGCTCTCCACAATCATCCTGTTTTGGCTTTTGAGTCAAGAAACATTTTTATTTATTTATTTGCCATGAAAATTATTTTTATAATGGCCATCATTTTATGGTGGGAATACTTGCATACTGCCAATCCTAAATTTTTAGAGGACAGAGCAACAAATTTAGCGCCCCACACATTTCAATTTCAGTTTAGAAAAACAACAAACTGTGAAATTAATTAATTTGAAAAAGAAAATTTTCATTTCACACAAAGATAAGCCAAAAAAAGAGGAAAATGTACCAAGCGGAATAAATGTTTCAAGCAAACAATTGCTGCATACAATCTTCACATCTTGCATTTGTCACATAACCAAGGTGAAGTCCGCCTACATTTGCCACAGGTAAATTTGTCACAGGCGTGCTGTACTCTCCCACACAAAAGAAACTTCTGTGTGTGATTCGGGACTGAAAGGAGAGGGGCTAGTCGGTAATCAAGTCATTGAAAGAAAATTGTGCAGGACAGCTGTGTTTTTGTCAGTGGGTAAGTACCCACTCGTTGATGGGTACTTAAAACAATGGAAAGTAATTCGGGGTGTATCACATAATTGGTTTCTGTGGGTGGGGGGAAACAGAGTCGACACTAAAGTCTCCCTCTTAGGAGTATAAGTAGAGAAGCAGACTTTTCGCTTGACTCCTCTTAGTATTACGCTTTCGTTCGATCTAATACACCAGGGTTTTTTTTAAGTACGTTTTTTTTTCCGCGAGCGTGCATGAGTGGCGGATCTGGCCTAACACAATAGGATCTGCATCTGGACGTATTAACAGCTCTATTATTCAGCATGTCAGCAGGATCGCATTCGCGAATGATAAAGTTTGGCTTCGTTGAGCATGAAGAATTTTTTGAAAAAGGGAAGGCGAAGCAACGTGCGAGATGCAAAACGTGCAAAATGACAAGGATAATCGTGGAGACAAGGGGTACGACTTCGGGCTTCACAAAACACTACCAACGGCAACATCAAGAAGAGTAAGTAGACCCTATTGAATGAATTTATTGTTATCTATCAATTCTACATTGAATGTATAATGGGAGCTAATGACTCGTACGTCGCCCCCCAAATGTTGGATTAAAATTGTTATATGACCATTTAAAAACGTGAGTCGGGCTGCAGCCCCGGCCTACACTACAGCCCGGTAGGCCGTGGGCCGATAGACTGCGGGTTCGATAGACCGCGGTCTACGTCTATCTAAGTGCATTATTTTCAGGCACCGCGTACTGTCCATTCCTTTTGCATGCATTGAACGTGAAGTAATTTATCTTCCCTTCCACCTTAGCTTAGTGAGGGTTAACTACCCTGTCGCGCCAGCGCTTAAATTCTAACAGTCCATATTTTCCAGATGCAGAGCATCGTGTTGCTTTTATTAGATTTAGTACTTTATTTGATTATCCCTAAATGAAAATCTTGATTACTTACCTTCACAAGTGCTTAATTCAATTTTATTACATGGCTGATCTGATTGTAGCAGCTAGCAGGATAAAAAGATTATAGTTTGACCAAAATGCATATATTATGAAAAAAATTTTTGTTGCTTTCATGTGATGATCTTTTCCTAATTGTTTCCTCTTCTTAAATATCATTTCAGATATAGAGAGTACCTTCAAGGTAAAAGTGGTGTCCAAGGGCAACAGACGCTGAACAGCTTTGTCTCGACTGCATCCACGAGT